TATTTTTGGAGTCTCCATTCCTGACAATTAAAATATTTGTCTATGTTTACACCACTATCATACTGTCTTCCTGCTTTAATTTTATAGTAATAATAAAACTAGAGAGAGTAAATTTTCCAACTTTGCTCTTCCTCTTTCAAGATTAAATTGGCTATTCTAGATTCTTGTATTTCTAAGTTCCAAAAAGTTACCACTTTTTTCAAAAAGATATGTTAGGATTTAGACTGGAATTGAGTTGAGTCTATAGGTCACATTGTTGAAAATTGACATTTCATAATAAATTAGTCTTCCAACTTAGTACTTTCAAAATTCTCCCAGCTAACTTTTTGTAATTTTTATTATAGTGGTCTTGCACATCTTCTGTAAAATTTAATACATAATACTTATTCTTGGATGCTACTGTAAATAATATTGTTTTTAATGTTATTTTCAAAATATGAATTAGTAGTGTATAAAAATAAAATCAGTTTTATATCTTGACCTTCCATCCTGTGACCTTGCTAAATTAATTTATCAATTCTAATTGTATTTTTGGAGATCCCTTAGTATTTTCTACACACATAATTATGTCATCTTAAGAATAAAGAATTCTATTTATTTTTTCCTGATCTTTATGCTTTTGTTTCCTGTCTCATTACATTAAGACATCCAATGTAATTTTCAATAAAAATTATGAAAACAAAATTCTTGCTTTGTTACTGATCTAAGGAGAAAAACATTCAATATCTCACCATTATATGTAACATTAGCTATAAGGTTTTACTTTTTATAGATTCTTTTTTCTTATTAGAAAGTTCCCTTTTATTTCTAGATTGTAGAAAATTTTATCATGGACAAGTGGTAGCTTTTACTAAATGATCTTTCTTTTATTCAGGTTTTAAAACTTTTTATTTGCATATTAAAAAATTGTGCATTCCAATAATTAAAATCATTTGAACAAAAAAAAATGGCACTCTGATTAAACTGCATTTTACAGCCTGCAGGACACCTTGAAACAGCATGGATTCTACTCTAGATTTCCCCATCCTCCCACCCAATATCTTCTTCCTTCACCAACATGCAAGTTCTTTTTTCTCTGCCAGCCAGACAGGCAGATGGGAGAGGCAGGCCTGGCCTTCGATGTCAATAGTTGTCGATTTTTTGATGTGAAAAGGGGCAGCACAGTCACTTAAACTTGACCCAACCTCTTTGCATCTTACAAAGTTAAACAGCTAAAAGAAGTAAAATAAGAAGGCAATGCCTGTGGAATGTACGGTGCATACTGGTGGTGCACGCCTCATTACCATTCGCCTGCTTGCGTCTCCTGTCCAATCGTTTCTTTTGAAGGCAGAGGATTTTTCTCTTGCGTTTCTGTCTTCAATTTCGACTTATCAAATTTCTCCATCTCAGCCATATCGGGTTTGTCAGACATGTTTTCGGAGCAAGACGCGTGAACGAGAGAAGTCTGGTCTGCGAAGTGACCACCGCCGAGTCTAAATGGGCTTTTTTTGTCATAAGTGTTATAGTGTTAATTTAAATTGCATTGTGGGAGGTTTAATGTTTTAATCCTTAGAGGAGAAAACAATACAAAAAAACATAAAATAGAGTGATAAAACATTTCATTGGTCTAAAATAGAAAAGAGAAAGAACAGACCAAATAGACAACAAACAGCAAGATGGTAAATTAAAATACAACCATGTAAAAAAA